GAACTTGTCTGCTAGGACTCGAATCTCTATTCGGTTTGTGCACTTTGATAAAACGAGACTTTGAATTTCTTAAACTCTTTGGTTCTCACCAAAAGCTCTTAGAATTCTCTGAAAGTCGGCTCTCAAAAGTCTCTACTTTATTAGGGTTCTTTATCTCCTTCTTATAAGTGATTTAACCCTAATTCGGTTTAATTTCGGAAAAACTGAAGCCCGGAACGGTCGGTCCAGAGATACACGCGGACCGTCCGTTCCAGCACGTGGAACGGACGTTCCGCTCACGTGGACCGTCCGGTCTGGTTCGGGCGGACCGTCCGTTCTGGACTTTCTGGTCCGTCCGTTCCAGCCCCTTCCGTCTCGGTTTTTCGTCGTTTTCTCTCGTGCATTTGTCCTTCCCTGCGTGTGTGACCCTGTAGGCTCATTCGACATAGCAGTATAACCTGAAATCCCTATTTCGGGTATACAAGTCATAGGCGGTCTCTAGCAAGACACTATGACTACCTATCTCGAATAGAGTTTGTTCGTGATCATACGAACGCCAGTGATGATTCCGGCTGATGATCCTTTTGTATCGCGATATCATATGTCGAACATAAGGCATGGACCAGCCACCTTATCTGATTCGACTGCTTTCTCGTTAACTGAGTTTTGACTGTCTGAAATAGACGACGTTCGTCTATAGTGCGGCCACACATTTCTACAGTCTCGCTCACACGAGGGGCCCAGCGATATCTCTCTCTTTTATGAGAGGTACAAATCCCGTCTTGACTATCTACAATCCAGTACATGATTCGTTTCGTACCTGATATACGCCTTTATAGTCCTCCTGTTACGCAGGACGTTTGACGTAATCAAAGCACGCAACTCCTCATGTTGGATTCCGTAGATATCTCAGGTCTTAGGATCCAATCATGGAACCGTCATATGAGATTCTAGTCATGACTCTAGTCCATGTGACAATCTCATGCGGGTCATTCCAGTATTCCGTTCTCCAACGAATACCTATGATCGTGATCGTATCCAATACCTATGATCATCTATGTGATCATCAATCACACATCATACTAGTCTTATTATGTCGTTATTCCCATAACGACATAAGACTAGGGAGTTTAGTATCATTCATAATGATACATGGATTTCATAACAGATCCAGTATGCAAGAACATGTAATGAATAAAATACTCTCATAAAACACATAGAAAGTATCAATACATCGAATGTATCTCAATAAAGCTCATAATCAGTACATCATAGAGCACTAAACCAACATTTTGGAGATCGAAAAACCCTAAGTTAGATTCCTGAAACCCTTGCGCAAAGAAGGACGTGTTCTTCAATCCGCAGTTCCAACCGTTGGAATCCTTTCCGCCGTGTGGATACGTGTAGAGGAGAGGTAACCTTCCTGCCTTTGTGATCGGACGAATACATCGATTGATACAGGCCCCAGATCGTTTGAGGTAAGCGATCTAACGTTTCTACAAAATCATGCATGCTAGGTTTTAGAGTTTCATAAAATTTTGTTTTACATCCGCTGCGCAAACCCTAGAACCGATCTCTTAGGAATTTGATTCGCTGTAGAGATCCCAGGAACACCAACATTGACATGTTCACGGGGGTTATTCTCAGACCTAGAAGAGACCCCGATGGTCTTTGAGAAGATGATGCTAGTTGAGCAATCTGATTGTCTATGAGCTTGAAGTGAGCCTTGGCGAATGACTTGTCTTGGATGCTCCCACCGCAAGAAGCTCGGATCAAAGTCTTGGTATCCATTCTGCGTCCTCGGAAGAATGTGTTGATCAGGTAGTTCTTGTCAAGCCTATGATGAGGGCAAGACTTCTGATATCCTTTGTACCTCTTCCAAGCGTCATAAAGACTTTCCCCATGATCTTGCTTGAATGAATGAATATCAGAAAGAGCTGCTTGAGCGCGAAGAGGTGGAAAAAATTTCGACATAAACTGCACTTCCAGCCGTTCCCAGGTGTGGATGGAATCGGGTGTCAGATCATAACACCACTCTAGAGCAGCATCCAAGAGGATCCAGGGGAAAGCAATCAAGCGGAGTGTATTCTCTGTCATCTTGTTATCTCTTTTGATAGAACGACACATCATCTTAAAGCGAGTTAGATGTGCGTTCGGGTCTTCATTCGGCCTACCCCGAAAAGCATTATTGCCCAACATCTGAATAGTGGACGAGTTCAGCTCGAAACTAGACATGTCGATGGTCGGTAGTCGAATACCAGCCAAAAGTCCAGTGTGCTTAGGCGTGTTGTACTGGGCAAAGTTGAGACAGCATTGCCCTTAGCACCATCGAGAAGAGTAAAATCTCGGTCATTCTCCATTTGTCTTCGTTGACGTCGGATGTATCTAATGGTCCTCTCAAGTTCACGATCTAGAGGTACTAGGTCTGATGTCCCAGCACTCCTGGTCATGCACTAGAGAACTCTGCACACAGATGAAAAACAACAAATAAACGAAGAAAACGTGAAAAATCGCTTAAGAAAAAGAAAAACAAACAAGACCCAGACTAGATAGGATCTAATCCTGTTGCCTAAATTGTCCCCAACAATGGCGCCAAAAAATTAATATCGCAAATCTAGGTGTAAAAATATGAATCAAGTGATAATTAATCTAGACTCAACAAATACCGCAAGTGTGCGGTTCGACTGTAGTAGTTAGGGTCGAACACAAGGACAAATAAATAATAGAATCAAATCCAAATCCAAGTCTAAGTCCAGAGAAAATAATATGAGTGTGAGAGTGCAGCAAAGCAAACAATAAAAACGGTTGTAAGCTATGAATGATGAACACTGCAGGCTTTGGGATTGCTTTATATGCAAAGATCTTTCAAAAGATGCAAACTTAGTGGTTTATCCATCCAATTCTGAGAATTCAAGCTCTAAAGTAGAGATTAACTCTCTCAAGTCTAATCTCACTATCCAGATTTTATCCTACTAAACTCTCGATTTAGTTGTCTAAAACCCTGGATGCATGAACGAACGTTATCATGATCCCTGGGCAAATATTCATCTCTCGATGTAATACATGTTCTATTTATTGAATTATTTCCAGGTTAGAATCTCATATGTCTATGTGAATTAAAACCCTAAGTTCATTCAACCAAGTGGCAACGAGATCAAAAGCACTAAAATCAATTCAATAAACTGGATGGAATAAATAAATTCACAAAGTCTAGAATTAAAAACCAAATATCCCTACATAGCAAATCCCTAACCTACAGTTATGGAACTACTCGCTAAACATCGAACGACAGGGTTCATATCAATACAACAAAACATCATAAAATAGAATAAGGAAGAAACTCTTAGTCGATTTCTCGGCTTCGTGATCTCCGTCTTCTACTCTGATCTCTTGCTTCCTGATAATCTCCCTTTTTTTTGTGTGCTCTAGGCCTATTTTCTGCAAAAGTCTGAATAAATTCGACCATTGCAGACACGATCGTGTCACATCGCAGTTTTGATGGGCTTCACGAATTTGCTCATAACTTCCTGCTCCTTCATCAGATTTGGGTGATCTTACGTCTATGTGTATTATCGAAGAGAGCTTTCTAATGATGTAGAGAATGCATGATTTGGACTTGTAGAGTGAAAGTTATTGGACTTGCAAGATTTGACTTTTCTGAACTTCACGTTTTCTCCGAAACAATTCCAAATATTCCCAGTTCGTCCGTGATGTTCCGTAATCTATGTTTTCTACTTCTTTTGCTCTCTTTATGTGTGGATTTCTGTTTAAACACCAAAGAACACAACCAACCAATATCGAAACCAAAATTTCCCTAAAATGTCTACAAATATGTAAAACCGAGTGAAATACTCTAGACATCTTATATCAAAACTTCACACAAAATACGTGTTACCATGGTTGTCATATGGTCCACCATAACGCACGACACCACTACCATGTCACCGTCATTCTTCACTATTGCTCCTCGAAGTTTCTATCAGAAAGTGATCTTTCTTTGCACTCTCTCCTATAATCAAACGAGAAACAAACTCTCTTTTCTTTCAAACCCTAAAACAAAAACCCAAAATCGAATCGTTTTTTCGATCCATACTCCCACAAATCCCAAAAAGACCATTAAACGCTATGATACCATGATAACTTTTATAAATCAAAACACACTCCACTTTATTTTCATAAAACACAGCACATATATATATCAACACAATCATACACACACATCTTCTCGTATGAGTAGGATTACATAAACCCAACTTCTGCAATAAATTTATGCATAAACATCTACATGCTCTTATAGAGCCAAACAAATAACCGACAAAAAACTGCAACATTAAATGCACAATAAAAAATAAACCTACACAAAACCCACAGCAAAACCGCCTTCAGACTTTGAACCAAAAAATAAGCCAACAGGGTTCTTCTCATATATTGCCTCGACTTCCAATTTCTCAACTACAAGATCTTTGAACAAACATTGGTCTCATCTTTGTTCCTTGTTTCATGTGTAGTTGATTGATTGAGTTGAAAGAGGCGGAGGAAAAATCCCTAAAGGAATCAGAACGGTTGGAGAAAGAAATAGCCGATGTCCAAGAGTTGAAGGTAAATAAGAAGAAACCTTGATCTTCATGCCTTATTCATTACTCTAATATATGATCCTAACTCATGTTATGGCCCTTAAACAAAAAAGGCTCAGCACCATGATGGCCAAGGCATGAGAAGCACCCCGAGCTGAAAAAGATGAAAAAGAAGTTTGATGATGAAATCCGGAACAGACTACTGAGGATACTAAATCATATTTCCATTCCTCCATGTCTTAACATCCAACAACTCTGGCATCAAGAGTTATTTTCCTTTTGTCCTGACAATTAGAATCATCATCATCATTAAACTGAGCAAACGTCTGTTTTCATGTGGGCGTTGGACTGTCTTTGCCCAATTGATTCAGTCGTCAATTTCTCACAAAACAGTGAGAAAGTTTAGATTCACTGGGAATTAGATTTGGATAATTTTGGAGACATGCATTTCCTTTTAGTTTCGAATGAAACCACAGCAAACAATTTCACTAACAGAAAAAAAAGGGGGGATACAGAGAAAGTACAGTACCTGAACTACGGGGACTGAGATATGTACCGTCAACAGATGAAAAGAAACCACTTTCAAAATTTCAAAGGAGTACTAACAATGCCAAAAAAAAAAAAGACAACCTGAGAAGCTGCCCCAAAAACATCCCCAGCAGAAAAAAAAAAAAAGACAAGAAAGAAACCATTTCCGCAGCTAAATCAGCAAAGCTTCTTCTGATCTGAGGGGATGAGGTCATCGTTCTTGTCCATGGCTTTCTTGGCGAGTTCATAACCAGCAAAGTTCATGGCGCCGAGTGGAGCCACCCAGAAGAACCTAGGGATTGCTCCTTTGAACAAACCGAGCGGTCCCTCGTGACGAAGGATGGAGATTGCGACCACTGACATTGAAACGGGCCGTCCAGGTGCAGCCGTCATCATTCTCGTTTTCATCACGTCGAAAGGCGTTGTCACTACAGCTGCTACACCTCCCGACAATGCCCCGACCGCTATCGTTTCCCATGGCTCAAGTTCTCTTCCCAATAGCTTCGCCGCCATCTTAAGAGTATATCACCGGAAAAATGTGCATGTTTCAGACATCGAAACTTGATTTCCAGATCAGACGTATTCTTCTGATAGATTAAGGAATTTTTATGTTTTGGGTTTTTCTTAGTTAATTGAGTTTGAGAGTTCTAGGAATAATGGACATGCCCGAGAGTTCTAACCCTAGGTCATGTACTTTCCCCCTGTAAAAGGAAGTTTTTGGTGGAATAAAGACATCATCAGATAAAAAAGGAGGTAGAACCAATCTCAGATCCAATAGGTTCCTGGCATGGGTGGCCATACCGGGTTTCGGTTTGGGATCAATTCGGTTATTTCAGTTTTAGAAAAACTATAACCATCCTTTTTTATATTGAATTTGATTCTTTAGATTCTGGTATGGTTTTTACTGATAAAAATACTTATCTTTTTTTTATTTGATTCGGTTTTAGAGAAATCATAACCTTTATATCAGATACGACCAAACTGGTCACCCCTACTCCTAGTTTCTACAACCTCTCATGTTTTCTTTTAAGATTTATTTATTTATTTATTACCTTCTTGGACTCAGCATAGAGTCCCATACCAACAACGTAGAGTGGAACTTCACGGCAAAGAGTGGCGCCAGTCCCACGGAAAAACCCCTTCGGACCATCTTGCCTCCATGTGCCTACAATAGCTTCCCCGACATTATCGAAGATACCAGCCTGCAACCGTTGCTTAAGTACCTCGCACGGGATTCGCACTGCCGTCCCCAGAAATGTGCTGCAGAATGATGCCACAGATTGAACCTGCACACATATGTTCAATAGCAACTAGTATGACATATTGACATAACAGAAAAAAATGCAAACAGACAGTGTTCATACACAGAAAGAAATGAGCTCGAATGCATTTTTGAATGCTGCGGTATCATATGAAGCAATTGGCATGGAAAAATTGCGATTTTTTTATGTAGGTTTGCATAATTTTGGTTACTAGAATGTAAAAATCATAACTTGTTTGTTACTGTGGGGTGGTAATCTGTATAATAATGCCAGACATTTCTGGAAGATTAGAATCAAAATTGAGACAGTGTTCATCACCTGGATTTCTGGAAGAGTAGGAGCAAAATTTATCAACACCAGTTTAGTAGCTTCAAATATTCCAGTCCGAAGGCCATGGCTGAAATGATGAGAAAAAATTAGTGAAAAAGGCGAATGAAGTTTCAAGACGTAAAAGAAGTATGCAACTTGATTTGAAATAGAACAAAAGACCTCGAAAATTGTCCAAGAATTGCGGGAATTGAACCACGGTATACTCCCTGAACCCCAATTTGCGGAAGCTGAGAGATCACTTCCGTAAATGATAAGGTCGAAGCTTGTACACGTGTCTGACAACCAAAGAACCGGTGAAATCCGTCAATATAACAATATATGTCAAGGTCCACAACAAAACCTCACTAGAGGAATTATATGAGTCCCTCTCGGTCGAAGACCCGAGGAAATTTCAGGTCGGGTGAAGGTCTAAATCCGACCTTAAAAAAATCGCTACAGTTCCATATTATAGACACACAATCGGGTCATCTAACCATTAGATTCTGAGTTTCATACGAGCCACTAGGGTTTGAGTTTTGAGGATTAGAGGTTTTCATGCTTGTTTTGAGTGTAGGTTGTCTAAGGGGGAGTGGAAGGAGGAGCACCATTAATCCAATCCTCAATCGAAGATCTTGATATTTACAACAATATATACCTATCTCTACTACTCTTCATATCTATTTCCAGGTTTCTCTATCTATGTCTACATCAGGGTTCCACTAGACATCAATGTGGAAACAAAAGAAAAAACAATGCACATTTGGGTCGGGATTTCAATATCCCGATGGGTTCGGGTCTTGGTTAAATGTATTACCCGAATCATTCGAGAGACAAAAAGAAAACCTAATAACAAGTTAAAATCCTGATAGAGGTCATCTTACTCGTTAGTAACTCTCAGGTAAACTTTCCAACCAGGGCACATAAAGATGTTCTAACAGATCAATTAGGGAGCGATTGGTTGTGGCAACGCTACCAGCAAACGAAGCGGTTGCGATTTTCGACGGTTGCAAGCGATTGAAAAACTGACTGGTTGAACCGCAACCACCCGCAAATACAGCCAAATTTGTGTTTTCTTAGAGCAACTTCTAATTTGCGTTTTGGTAGCGGTTTCCGACATTTTGACAAAAAAAACCAAAATATTCTTATTAAAAATTATATAAAATAGTAATATATACATTGGTGATGATTTTATTTAGTGTTATGATTTGATATTATTTTTTAGTATTATATTTTAATAAAAAAATATAATAGTATACTTTTTAGATTTAATAATAATATTTTAATAATTTTTATAATAGAATTATTTTTTTATTTAAAATAAATTAAATTGATAATATTTATATTTTAAATTTATTATTTAATTATTATAAATTTAGTAAATAATTTTTGTCAAATGATACTAAAAATTTAATTAAAACTATTATAAAAAATTATTTTAAATTAACCGCAACCGCAACGAACAATTCACTTCTAACCGCACCCACCCGCAATCACTGCCAACAGCAATTTATCAACAAGCCAGTACTAATCGTTCATAATCGCTATCAAACGCTCTGAAAACGCCGCCACCCGCAACCGCTACGGTACAACCAGTCGAACCCTTATAAGATTTACATCAACTGCAGAAGAAAAACTTGCCTTGATTGTGTCGATTGGATGCATTAAGGAAGTGGACAGAGCAGAGGCCAGCCCTCCTGCCAATGCGGATTTTAGCAGGAATCTCCACAGGAGGTGCGACGGCAACAACAGTTGCAGCTTCAAACCAGATGTTCCTGTACGTGTTAGAAAAAGGTGCCAACCATCATTGAAGTATTTAAAAGATAAACATGAAAAGAAGGAGCATAGATGAGAGAGAAGTGATAGTGTTTCATTATTATCCGAGCTTCTACAGTGTCTAGAAGAAGAAGATTCTTACCTAGGATCATCTAGTAGCCGTTCATACGGGAGCAAAACCATGAAATTACGGAAATGTCCATATGAGATAGACCCTTCTGTATCAGCATTGAGAAATCTCATCATAGCTATAGCGTTTTCCTCATTAGCAGGAAGTCCCGCATTATCAAGAGATGCCAATATCTCACTCTTCTGAAGAGTCCCAGACTTGCTCAAACAGAGAGATGTGTAGGCACGGAGGATGGTCGGCTCCTTTTGTTCCATCAATGATAAAAATTGCTTCCAACCGAATGATTTTGAGAATAGATGACTCCGAGCTCGACTCATAAATTCCTTGGCATATCTTCTAGGTAATTTTCTTCTTCTCATAGCAATTTCCAGATCTTCCAGAGTCACCTGACCATCTCCATCTCTATCTAATTCTTCAAAGAATCTCCTGCCTGGAAGAAGCCTCAGAGACTTAAACATAGAAAATCTTAAAGAAAACTATAGTATCAGCTACAAAAACAATTGTTCATTCAGATTTCATAAGCAACAGAAAAAAAAAAAGGTTCCTTTTCTCGTTTTATGCATCAAATCCTCATTTCCTATGGCTCTTAGAGGACACATCATGCAGTATATAGGTTATAACAACCGAGAAAAGATATATTATGCCTGCAGGCAAATGGATCGCAAGCAAGCCTGCTCTAAATGATTCCGAAAAGAAAAAACTCAAAGGTCAACTTCAAGATTATTCAGTACGAATAATAGACAAACAATGATGAAAGATTATCACTTTTCCTATTGTATCAATATCTAAGAAGAGACACAGATCTTAAGGAACTATTTGAGGAATCATACCTTCAGCTTCAGTGTATCTGAAGAAATCTTGTACAGAAATCAGTTTCTTCTTGTCAGGATGATCTGCTGAAGGCCGTCCCAATTGTGGCAAAAGCTCGATTAGTTCAGTCAATGAAACAGTGGACAAAGTGGATTTCAAGCGCTCCACATTTGACAAAGGTATACTCAGTATTCCACTTGCCAACTTCTGGGGAGAATTATCTGCATTTTCCTCCTTACCACCAGTACTGACATTACCGTCATCACCCTCTTCATTGACAGGGGATGTCAGTCCAACTATACTGGATGCCACATCTCCAACTCTCGCAAACATCAAGTTTCCAATGAATCCATTTAAAGCAAGTTTTCTAGCTTCCCAAATGTTAAACGTTTGTGGATGATCAACTTGAGAGAAGGCTGGACCTTTATCAGGACAACAAGAATCAGTCTGGACACTGTCCTGCATGAACGGGTCCAGCTTCTGAAGATTCTGAGTCAACATGTCAAAAGCAAAAGCTAGTAGGCATTCAAGAGAAAGGTGTTTCCCTTCTTGTCGTCCTCCCTCACTCTTACTCGACATAGTGGATTGACCACTTGTTTCCTTCCTGATTTCAAATGAAAGCTTAGGCTTAAACCCATTTTTACGCCAATGCAAAAGATTGTTCCTGTCATCCTCCACTTTCTGAATCCTTTTCTTACTGGTTTTAAACGGGATGGGAAAAGCCTGGACAAAACCACTTACCAACAAAGACCATGTCATTGCAAACTTGAAACAATTAGTACAAGAACCACCATCATCTTTCTCCAAACGCTTCTCTTTCATCCCCTTCTTCACCACATCATTCTTACCGTTCCCGTTCACCATATTCGGAGAAAACATCCCCAAAAACATCTTCACAGGAATCTTAATGGATAAACCCTTCTTTCTCTCTTCACTTACCAAACACTGAATATTATCATCTCCAGAGCCAACGCTACCACAGTTTCGCTTCTTCATATTATTACTCCGTACCTTTCTATTTCTACAACCGTTAGGCGATTCCATAACCAATCCAACACCATTTTCTTCGTTTTTGCTCATTACCCAAGAGCTTTCAATATCTTTCGCAGCCTTTTTTATCCCTAATTCGATCGGCAAAAGAGCATCCTTCACGACTTGTATTGAATTAAAGATAGTTTCAATAGGATCATTCCCAGACACCATTTCTCTCACTCTATTACAGTACCATCCAATGAACAACAACTCGAGCGTCTCAATGCAAAACAAGATCAACCCAAATCCAAGAACTTTACCCTAAATTAGACCTGAACGAAATGGGTAAACACAGTTCGACACAAACCCACAAAGCTGAAATCCACAGAAACTTGAATCTCCGGCGGGAAAATGATGCCCTAAAACTGCTCGGAGAGGTTATTGAACCCACGATTCACCGTGAAAAAAACACGAAGAAATCAGAGGAATAGATCGAATCTACGTTGTAATCGCCGGAAAGTGTACGGCAACAAAGCCGATTAAGATTTCGCCGTCCGGGTCATGGTTCATCGATCGCGAAGATGAAGAGGAGGGAAGAGACACGACTGCGCAACAAAATTCAAAATGAAGACGAGGGGAAATGCAGCGAATCGAGAACGGCGAAGCTAGAGTGAGAAGCTTTAGGAAAAAAGCTTTGGAGATTGGGACACAGAGAGATGTGGTGGTGGCAGAAGAAGAAATGGATGAAGAGCGTGCATTGGGTTAGCTTCTATTTTTTTCCCTATTTGCCAAAAAAAATTTATTAAATTAAAAAAAAAAAGGAAGAAGATAAGACATGAATTATAATCTAAATAAATACTATTAATTAAAGCATTATCCTCCGTACTCTCTTGCTTTTTAATTGTACATTTGTATTATTAATTTGATAAATTAATATATTATACATTTTAATGGTTATATAAAATCCAATAAATTGTACTTAAATTCAATTCTATTTAAACAGTTTATATATATAATTTTAAATTAAATTAATTAAAATAAAATAACTTTAATTAAAACCGTTAAAAATAGAATATATTAGTTTTTGGAATAAAAAAATATTTGTTAATAAAAGTTTAATTCTAATAAAGTTTACCAAAAGAATAAAATATATGTGAACTGGAAACAGATCCAAAAATAAACCAATGAAAAATATAGCTTTCAAAATTTAAGTTTACCAAAAAAAACTTTCAAAATTTAAATGTGAACCCTGAAGATAAGATGAGAAATGAGTCAAAGGGATAAAGAAAAATTGTTGTTATACAAACATTACGAAATGATCTTTCGTATAAAAAAAACTATTTTATAGGCTTTGTGAAAACGATAAACATTTTTAAAAATAGAATTTATAATTTTTATATTAAATGAGCGATGAAATTAGCTTCTAAATGCCATTCGAACCTTTTTTTGTCTAAAATATGTCAATATCTATAGTTAATTAATAATTTTAAGTTATGATATTTGTTCTATAATAACTATATATATATATGATTATTTTGAAAATACAAATGCCCTAATTTTGTTACATTTCGATTTTTTGTAAATAAAAGAAGTTAAAAATAAAGAAGTAATTATCAATATATTACCGTCATTATTGATTATTCAAATACAAACCTGTGATAAATATTAATTTCTGGAATTTTTTTAGTGTTTAATGCTAGAAGAATATCGTTTTTGTCGTATTTTTGTTGGGATATTTTTTATAACAATTCTAAAAGTAGAGAAGGGAATTTAATATTTAGGATTTGAGCATTGTGGAAGGATAGACACTGACGTAAGAGGTTGCTGAACATCATGCCACTTGGAGTTCCAAGAATTTCACCTCCACAATATATAATTAATGGCAAAATATGAAAATATTGACAGATTATTGTTAGGAATGGCAGTTATTCACGACGGCAAAATTCCGATAATTCGAGCAAAATTCCGACAATTCGAGCGATTCTAGATAAGTATTTAAAATTAAAAGATTATTTTGTTGAGATCTGTGAAACACAGTTTTCTTAAATTCGATTTCCGTGTTACCTCTAAAGTTTTGAGGTTATTGGAGCACGATGAACTCTTAGATACAACGACTGCGTATTTGGAAAAAGCTTCCCAAATACCAAGTGAACTAAAAGAGAGATATGAACAAATATGTGAATGCTTTTTTTTTCTCTAGAATGCTTATTTTTATTTTCTGTGTTAAATGAACTAACCCAAGACCCCTATTTATAGTAGAGGGGAGAATCTCAAAATAAAATCAATTTGATTTTCAAAATTCAAATTTGATTTTATTTTGATATTATTTCAATCTTATCTCAATCATATTTGATAGCAAATTTGAATCCAATTTGAATTTCAAAATCAATCAAGAATATTCTCTCAATATTCTGCAGAATTTAAAGTTTCTATAACTTTCCATGGATCAGACTTCTCACGGGCTAGACCCGTTTTGATTCTATCAAATAAAACCAAATCCAACAATCCCCCACAAACATCAAAATAAGGTCTTGAGTTAGTAAATGCATCTCATGCAACTATGCATTGTATGCAGATGATGTGCAAAGCAAAATTTATTCATAGAGAGTTTACTGTATCCGGAAAGGTAGTTTTACCTTTGAACCTTCTGTAGTGAAATACTATTGGATGTACTTGCTAAACAGTGAACGCGATGTCTTGAACTATTCAGCTTTTGTATACACCAAGAAACAGTACTCACGCAGCACCCCCTCTCTCTCTCTTGTTAGTCCATTTGTTGCGCCCATTATGGCCCTGGTGAAATACTATTGGATGTACTTGCTAAACAGTGAACGCGATGTCTTGAACTATTCAGCTTTTGTATACACCAAGAAACAGTACTCACGCAGCACCCCCTCTCTCTCTCTTGTTAGTCCATTTGTTGCGCCCATTATGGCCCTGGGACAGCACCTGGTAGATTTCATCAAATACTCTAGAGAACTAGCCCTTTTGTCATTCTCATAGAAGCGACCCACTTCATACTTGATATATGAGATTTCTCTTTGAGAGTATCTTAATATACTCCACTCTCGAAGGAGATAAGAGAATCTTTAAGAGCATAAACTCAACCTTTCCAATTTGTATCACTCTTATCATAGGAATGTGAAGAGACATCAGTCTCGAGTGATCCCATCGACCCCCCACAATTTTGTTGTCCCATTGAACCTAACACTGGTGGTTTGTCCAGATAGGTTGGGTTGTCATCATGGTGGTTTGTCATTCTATTGGCTTTAATCTCATTCCCCTCGATAATATTTCTACCTGATCTCTGTTAAGGCCTTTCGTCAGAGGATCAACCAAATTATCTTTTGATCTCACAAAATCAATAGATATGACACCATCTGTTAGTAATTTTCTAATGGAGTTGCGTCGTCTGCGGATTCAGACACCGGTTTAGGCCATATAGGAATATTCTCAAGAAAGTTTCGAAGCCATTCACCTTCTTCACCAGCAAGATCTAAAGCTATGAATTCAGATTCTATAGCGGATCTTGCGATACACGTTTGCTTAGAAGATTTTCACAAAATAGCACCTCCACCAACAACAAATATATATCCACTTATGGATTTATTCTCATTCGAATCTGAGATCCAGTTCGCATCAAAATATCCTTCTAATACTGCTGGATATCTTGTATAGTGTAGTCCATAATTCTCAGTATACCTTAGATATCTAAGGAGTGTAATTATGGCCTTCCAATGATCATAACTTGGATTGCTCGTATATCTACTAAGCCTATTCATGGTATTAGCAATATCCGACCTTGTGCTATTCATAAGATGCATTAAGCTTCCTATGATTCTGGAATATTCTAATTGTTGAACTCCCTCACCGTGATGATTTTTCAAATGAGAATTGACATCAATTGGAGTTCTGGCCTCAGAATTTCTATCTTTATCAAACCTCTCTAAGATTTGTTTTATATAGTGACTTTGGGATAACGCATAACCGTCTTGTGTCTTGATAATTCTCATACCAAGTATTACATCTGCTATTCCCAAGTCTTTTATGTTAAAGTATTTTGATAACATGGTTTTCGTAGCTTTAATCACCTTATCACTACTACCAGTGATGATCATATCATCTACGTAAAGACAGATAATCACAAGTTTTGTCTCGTTACCTTTGACATATATGCACTTGTCAACCTCGTTGACTCGAAATCCATTTGACAACATTACGCTATCAAACTTCGCATGCCATTGTTTGGAGCTTGTTTAAGTCCATACAAGGATGTCACAAGTTTACACACTTTTCCCTCTTGTCCATGCACTCTGCACCCTTCAGGTTGAAGCATGTATACTTCTTCTTCTAGTTCACCATTTAGAAATGCAGTCTTTACATCCATCTGATGTAATTCTAGATTGTGTAAGGTTGCCAAGGCTATAATAAGCCTTATGGATGTTTTCCGAGCGAGTGGAGAGTAAATATCGAAGTAATCGACACCTTCAGTTTGCTTATAGCCTTTGACTACAAGTCTCGTCTGGTATTTTTCAATAGAACCATCGGGTTTCATATTTCTTTTGGAGACCCATTTATAACCCAATGGTTTGCATCCTTGTGGAAGTTCCCAAGTGTGATTTTGTCTGATTGATTCAATCTCACTCTTCACTGCTTCTTTCCAATAAGGAGCTTCGGAAGATGACATAGCCTCTTGATATGTCTGTGGTGCTTTATCCAACATAAACACTAGATAATCAGAACTGAAAGAAGTCGGTTTCTTTGCCCTTTTACTTCTTCTAGGCTCTTCATCCTCTTCCTCTAATTACTTAGAAGATTTATGAATTCTTTGAGATTCCATACCACTTGGATCTAATTCTATCCGAGTCTTGTAGGCAAATACATCTTCAAGCCTTTTATGGGGCACTCTGTTTAATATAAAGTTAGTAGAAATCACTGTTTTTCCCCACAAGTTCTGAGGAGATCCAGAAATTATTAGCATAGCATTCATCATTTCTTTCAGCGTTCTATTTTTGCGTTCATCAATGCCATTTTGTTCTGGCGTATAAGGGGCTGTAGCTTGATGGATGATGTCATGATCTGCGCACAATTGCGCAAAAGACGACTCATATTCACCTCCTCTATCGCTTCTCAAAGCTTTGATTTTCTTTCCAAGTTGATTTTCAACTTCGGTTTTATAGAGATTAAACATCACTATTGCCTCGTCTTTACTTCTCATTAAGTAGAGATAACAATATCGAGTACAATCATCAATAAAAGTAATGAAGTACTTCTTTCCACATCTGGTTTGCACATATTTCAAATCGCATACATCTGTATGTATTAATTCCAAAGGTTCATTACTTCGTTCAATATTTTTAAACGAAGACTTAGCAAATTTCGCTTCAACGCAGACTTCACACTTGTGGTCTTTGTCTAATTTAAATTTTGGCAATACATTAAAAGACATTAATCTTTGCATAGACTTAAGATTCACATGTTCTAATTTACCATGCCATAATCTTGACTCATTCAAGTAAGCAGAAGAAGTAGGAGCTTTATTAATATCATTTGCGGACCGTGTCCAGCCCGTGCAGAACGCATAAGTTTTAGTCAGACAATTGACACGGACCGTGTTGACATTCGACACGGCCGTGTTACGTTTCGAGAAAACTTCCTATTTTTGTTGGTTTAGTGCTCTATGATGTACTGTTTATGAGCTTTGTTCAGATACATTTGATGTATTGATATTTTCTATGGTTTTTATGAGAGTATTT